CCCCACCCAATAAAATTATGGATTATCTTGCATAAATAGGCTGTTGATTTTCTTTACTCGTTTCAGTTATTACCAGCAAAATGGTTGCATATTGTATCATCTGGGAATTTACCCAGTGTGATTCAGTCCACACAAATGTGAAGCAACTGGCCACACATGAAACTATTTTACATCCAAACCTGAATAAATAGTCATTATTTATGCACAATTTACACACAAGTTCAGTTTCATGAATTGGATAAATTTCTCTTTCAAAGAGCTTTTTAAAGCTTTGTCTAAGACTACGTCTAACCTCTCTCCCGCTCACAAAACTTTGCATGCTTGTGCACCAATCGCCTGATATTTACAGATCGCATCACGTGCCGACGTGGGGTTTTGAGGCCACAAATTCCACAAAACCACCCAGATCCACAAATACAAAATCATCCGATTCGTAAAGTTGAACTTAATAAATAAATTGACTTCCTTATGCATATACAAACTGCTGCGTCTTTATACAGTACTGTGCAAAGGTTTCAGGCAGGTGAGAAAAAATGCTGTAAAGAAAGAATTCTTTCAGGATTTGGTGTGACCTCCCTTTGCCTTCTTCTAGGTGCACAGTTTTTGAAGGAACTCTGGTGGTAGGTTATTCCAAACATCTTGGAGAACTAAGCACAGATCTTCTGTGGATGTAAGCTTCCTCACATCCTTCTGTCTCTTCGTGTAATCTCAGACACACTCGATGATTGTTGCCGTACCATCACTTCCAGTACTTCCAGTTCTTCTTTACACTGAAGATAGTTCTTAATGACTTTGCTGTGTGTTTGCGGTCGTCGTCCTGCTGCAGAATACATTTGGGGCCAATAAACAATCATTTATATTTCTGAAAGCATTCTTTGTTTACACCATTTTTTCACACCTGCCTAAAACGTTTGCACAGTACTGTGTGTGCCATACACAAAGCTGCCAACCAACATTTTATAAGGCCGGGTACAAGCACATCTCCCAAGAGTAAGTTAGTATAGACCTGAATATCATTTGTGCATGTTGTTATTTTAAAAACATTTATTTAATCCTTGAGACCATGAGCTCATTTTTAGGAGAGGCCTTTGTACAAAGCACATGTAACAATATGGACAGGCACACTTATGTAATACAAAGATACATGTTCACACATAAATGTAACCTTTTAAAATGCTCTAATGAAATAATAAAATGCAGCTCCATGCTTTTTTCTAGTTTATCGTGTTCATAGGCAGCAAAGGTTTCCATCCACTTTGTTTCAAGTTCAACGTAACTGAGAAGAAGAGCTGATGTTAACATAAGTGCAGAAAACAACCACCTGTGAAAACACACAAAAACCCCACCAAAGGCAGTGTTGGGCAAGTTACTTAATTATAGTTACTAGTTACTTCTTCAAAAAAGTAACTGAGTTAGTAACTGTGTTACAATATTCTAAAAGTAATTAATTACTTGAAAAGTAACTATTGCATTACTTAAAAAAAATGTTTAACCCTCTGGGGTCCAGGGTATAATTGGCCATTTTTAACTACTTTTGAAGTTTCCTCCACATTTCACCTTTAAAAACTCTTTACTTTGCTTGTTTGGTCTCATTCTTTTCAGCACAACCTCACGTGTCTGAATTTACAGTTATGTTTTCATTTTGACTGTATTACCACAATTGATCTAAAATCAGACAAAAAACATAAAATCAGAGTAGAAAGAGTTATATTTTTACTGTAACAACCACAAACATGTTTATTGAATCATATTTCATAACTTTAAATGCAAATATAAATTGTCAATTTTAAAATCCTATTTGTGCCACTCCAAATATTTCTGTCCACTATAAAGGAGAACATCACAGCCTGATACCTGCAGGCCTGACAGCAGCAGGTGTGTCACTCCTGTTTCTACCTGGAGACAGCAGTCGCCTCATTGTTCTGACACACAACACAAAACTATCCACAACACGCACACACTAACTACACAAGACAACACATTAACTACAAACTACAAACATGCTAAACGTCACAAATCCCTCACATCTCAAAACTCACTCTTTCTCTCTCTTTCTCTCTCTCGCCGTCACTCCTAAAACTTCCCATTTTTCGTTTTTTTTTGCTCATAAGCAGAGAGTGCTCGCTGCGCTGTCCTTAGACAGTAAACGTGACGAAACTATTGAGGAAAAAACACACGTGTATATTGTTTATCATGACTCTGGTTTTACGTGGACTATCAACACAATTTATAAACTGGTATATATCACCTTGTTGCTTTGTCTTGAAGTGGTCATGTGATTGGCTTACCACGACTTCCTCAGTCAAACAGCAGCACTCATGTGATTGTTTTGCTCCCTGAGCTCCAGGTGTTGTGCAGTGATCATGATTACCGTCCGCAGGAGCGCGCAGCTGCTTAAAGCTGTAATGCCCAGATTACTTACAGCTGCTTCCGTGCAGCTGATATAAGATGCGGTAAGATGAACACAGCTTCAACCGTCTGTTTGTTGAAAAATAGTAACGGACCGCATTTTCTTATTAGTAACTGTAACGGCGTTGTAATGATAGGAATAGTAATTAGTAGGAATAGTAATTAGTTCGATTTCTCGTTACTTAAAAAAGTAACGCCGTTACTTGTAACACCGTTATTCCCATCAAAGGTAATCGAGAAAAAAATGTAAAAATTGAATAATAACTTTCAAATTTACATTTTCTCAAATTTACTCTCCTAAAGTCTCACAGAGAAGACAATTCTTTCCATAATAATGATTCCATGAGTAACATTCAATCCTCAAAGACCTGGGGAGACACAAATAAACATGACGCCACAGGGCAAAGTAAAACTAAACACATTAAACAAGAAAACACTAAACTCTTCAAAATAAAACAGGAACCATGGAGAGACGTAGACATGACAACACAAGCCTGACAATTAGAACATGGAACACGCTGAGAGACGGACACACAGGCATAACTGAAAAGTAAAAACACTGAGGACAAGACAGACTACAAAGAGGACAACAAAAGACTTCAGGAGTTATAGATGAAACAAAAACTAGAATGAAACTCAATTAAATTCTAACTAATAATAACAACCAAAGAACTAAACATATTTCTAATATAACACGAGGAATCAAAAATGCAAAATAAACTCAAAACGCTCGGTCACAGACCCAGCGCCTGACAATTTCTTTGAGCAAGCCATCATTAGCAATAATATTTAGCCTTGTTTCCAGAGATTGTTGATCCATTTGTTAGTTCCTGCAAATTTTTAATAATTTTTTTTCTTGCCCAACTGTGCTTGAACCCCAAAAGTGTGCCCTTTAATTCCCTTCCATCTTCTACTGTAGTTTGCATTGCACCATTATTTTATTGGTGTCTATTCAGTAACGATTCAGTGAGCTTAATGCTTGTCTTGCTCCTGATTTAGATATAGATCAGCTCAACATTTGTATGAAAATGTTAGGTGGCAGTGTCCTCTGATCAAGTATTTCTTTTGCTTCTTTGCCCAACAGGCACTCCGGCAGAGGAGACCTGGCCTGGTATCAGCAGTAATGAGGAATTTATGTCCTACCTCTTTCCTCAGTACAGACCTCAAGCTCTCATCAACCATGTGCCCCGGTAAAACTCACAATCTTCTCTTCACTGCCTATTCACTGGCACAAAAAACAAGCTAACATTTGCTGATTAGCATCACATGCAGAATAATAATTGCTGATGCTGGTATCAGTTTGCTTGCTTGTTTTTTGTTGTTGTTTTTTAAAGGATGCAAAACATTTTTGAAGAAAGTAACTAGTTTTTGAGCCATCACATTGATAATGGTAACTTTATTTGTCCCCAATATGCTCATGTTGTTGTCATGTTTCAGGTCTTACATAGTTAACTGAACTCAAAGTTAATTATGTCAATTCTAAACACAAAATACAATACAGTATAAAAATGTTATTCATTGTTTACAGTAGTAATATGTATTTAAAGGCACAATTAGTGTCCTTTACAGAAACTGTATTTCTTGCAGCTAAACTCATTATAGAGTCTGAACTGTTGCTTTGTGTCCCTAAGGTTGGACCCAGAAGGGATTGACCTGCTGTCTGCTCTGTTGCTGGTAACGGACCACACATCCACACTCCTGGTTATGAGGACCTAAATATTCAGACTCACCGATGAGCTGTTTTTATCTCATGATTGCAGTATGACACCCGGAGCAGACTCTCCTCTGAAACCGCTCTACGTCACCCCTACTTCCTGAGTTTGGGAGACAACATTCATAATTTGGCAGACAGTAAGACACACACACACACACACACACACACACACACACACACACACACACACACACACACAGAGTATATCAATATCTAACAAAGCATGAATGCTGATGGTGCTTTGTACTAAGTTAAAGTACTGAACTCTATATTTGTTCTAATTACTGTAGGCAGGATATTTTATTTTCCTGCTGCTGTATTATCACTCTTCAGAAACAAATGTCTTTTCCTGCATGTCAGTTTGTCTTTTCATAGCAGCGTATGACCAGTGTGTAGCTAATTTAGTTAATTATGACCCTGTTCCAATTGGGGGGACACCCGTAGATGAACCTCTCCACAGCCTGCTCTTCAACATTGTTGAAGCAGTGTGGGGTCATCTTGACAGAGAACAGATTTGTATATATTTGGACCAACTTTGTCTTATAGCATAGTGATTAACATTTGCTTGTCAAGCAAAAGGTCAGTTGTTCAATTCCAGCCAGAGACAGAAATCCCCTTTGGGGTCGAATCAGAATCAGAAGTATCCAGTATGAAACTCCTCCAAATGAAGCATGTGAAGCTGCCCGCACTGGCAACCCCTTTGTGACAAGCGAGGACCTAAAAATAAATTCTCCTGTTACTCAAGAGGATAAGTGACTTTGCCGTTTGCTGGGCTGAGAGAGGTGCCAGCTGCAGCCTGAAACCTTCACAGGGGCGTGGGTTTCTGGCTGGGCTTTAATTTCTGTAGAGATTATTGCCACTGTAACGGTGTGCCACCAGATATGCATGTACCATCGCTGGGATCTGAACCTGAAAGTGCAGGTAGTATATGAAGAAGGTGAACTCCTTCCTTAAACACAAGAAGAGTGCAGGTTCACAGCTTTGTCATACCATCTCACAATGATGTTGTCCTGCTTTTCTCTGATGTCTAAAGAGCCTGTTCCCTTTTTCTTCAAATCTTTCTCATCCATTGTGTTGCAGTCTTTTACTCTGCTCATTCAAACTTTTCATGTTATGTTTTGGATTCCTCTTTTTTCCGAGTGTTCCACGTGTAAAAGGGAAGAAAGTAGCTTTCTGCAAAACCCTTGTGATTTTATTTTTCCTTCTGGAAGAGCTGAGGCCATTTTTACACAGCATCTCCAGTAGAACCAACATCAGATTTACAGGGAGTGCAGAATTATTAGGCAAGTTGTATTTTTGAGGAATAATTTTATTATTGAACAACAACCATGTTCTCAATGAACCCAAAAAACTCATTA